AAATGTTAACATTTAAATAATATTTCATGTTTCCTCTTTATATCAACATAAAAATGACTCAATAAATTTATATAAAAGAAGGATTCAGACCAAACAGTGATGTGTTTTATAACCAAGAAGACAAATGAAGTCAGATCTGATCAGTTGATGATATCAGAATTAAAATGTAGTTTTTAAAGCAGGAATCTGAAAATGTAATTAGATCATTTTCAGGTTTCCCTTTATATTAACATCAAAAATGACTCAATAAATTTATATAAAATAAGGATTCAGACCAAACAGTGATGTGTTTTATAACCAAGAAGACAAATGAAGTCAGATCTGATCAGATGATTTCAGGATGTTTCAGGTGTTAAAATGTTGTTTTTAAAACAGGAATCTGAAAATATAATGAGGTCATTTTGATTAAATCAGATTTAATCTTTATTTCATGACGGGTCACAAAAATGTACCAAACTGAAGCCATCAGACTTACTGCTTTATTTTTTTATGTGTTGACTTTAAGACAACAGCTCAGAGCCTCACATGACCCGAGGACTGATGACCTTTGACCCTGACCTGTCAGCAGGTAAAAACAAACACAGCGGTTCTGATCCGGTCCTTATCAGCAGAGCAGAACAGTCGGGTCTTACATCATCGTAAACCTGAACACAAGAACTTTTCAGAACCGAAGGTCCGAGACTCGTCAGGCTGCAGCCACAGCTTCTACAAGTCCTGACTCTGAAACGGGTCAGAACCTGCAGAACCTGCTGTGTTCTGTTCAGAACCAGTTCTTGTCTGATGGTGAATAAATCCTAAACATGTTTGTTCTGGTCCAGCTCTGCAGGAACCACAGATACCTGCTCAGGTGTTTAACCAGGACAAACCTTCATCTTTTTCTTTATCATGTTTCCTGTCTGTGAATTAATTAATTAATTAATTAACTAATTAACTAATTAACTAATTAATGTTTTAACTTCATTAGTTTTCCTCTCCTGACAGATCAGATCAAACAAAAAGTGATAAATATAAAGTTTCTGACTGTTTAGCTGAAACAAACACATTTTTCCTGCTCATGACGCCATTCCTGAGGAAGGGAATAACGTGGTTCCATCATCCCGGTGGGCGGGACTTTGATTTGGAAGTGACCAATCAGAGCGCGGTGTCTGCAGAGAGCTGACCAATCAGAGTGCTCGGTGGGCTGTTCTCCTCCATCTGCTCGGCCTTTATAAAGTGAAGGGTCCTGCGGTGGGAGAAGGTTTTGTTCTGCTTTTTGGGAACAACAAACATCACAGTAAGTTTTTAAAGCTTTAATTTCTTTTTAAATCTTTAATATTTTCTGTCTTCATGTGTGACTTCAGATAAACTCAGGTTGTGTGTGCAGCCCGGTGTTTTAGGCTGAAGTAAACAACAAACCAGGTTTCATTGAAAAAGTGAATAAAATAAAAATAATCTTCTTTATTCTCAGTTTGTGATGTAAAAATCTGCCGTGTTGTTGTGTCTTTGTGTCACTGGGTCACTTTGGGTTTATTCGGCTGTTTGTTTTCTCCGCCTCGTTATAAAAACAACCCGGTTCTGTTCGGGTAATAAAACCCATTAAACCCGCTCCTTCCTGAGCCTCAGAACCTCCAGAACCTTCAGGGTCCTGCAGCAGAACCGCTCCGTTATTTTCCGGGTAAAGTTTTAGTTTTCTTTTCGTTTTCCTGCCTGTTCTGACCCGGTTCTGCTCCGTGGCTTGGCTCCGTGCCGAGCCTGATCCCGTGACTCTGACTGGGCTCAGAACAAAAACAGGATCCGGTATCTGGGACCGGTCCGACCAGGCCGAGGAGGTCCAAACCGCCCAGAACCGAAACCTTCTTGTCCTGGATCAGGGTGGTGGTACCGGGTCGGTTTACCGGACCTGAAGGTTCGGTTAGAGGAGTTCTGAAGGTTCTGATGTTGAAATGTTCTGGATGAGTCAGAAAAGAACTTGTTGTTCTGAGACCTGCTGAGTCATGATG